GGCATACACACATCAGCGAACCAGATCAAGGGAAAGCCCTGCCCTGGATCTCACATCACCCGAAGGAGAAGTTGTAGGTGGCACACAGTAAACGCTCCACGTGGTAATGTAATAAATTGGACAGTACGTTAGAAGGTGATGGGGGCTGTGAAAAAAAGAAAAAGTATTTAGATCGTGGTAACAAGCTCAGGAATGTGTGGAGGAACTGGGTTAGCTGCAGCTTAAATTATGAAACAGAGTGACCCGGGTAGGCTGCATTGAGAAGGTGACATTTTGACAAAGACGTGAATGGGTAGAAGAGTCAGCCAAGCAGGTTTGTGGAGTCAGGGCTTTCCAGAGGGAACAGGTGGGAAAAAGTGTCAGAGGCAGAGCATGCCCAGCACAGCAAAGACGCTACAAGGATGTCAGTGCAGTTGGGAGCAGGAGTAAGGGCTGAACAGGGACAGGATCCTGCTGGGCCGAGTAAGCTTATGGTCAGTCAGCTAGACCAGAAAGGACAACCAAGGGACGTAGATACTTAGGGTACATCTGTGTGGACCAGCCAAGTTCAGGCAAAGCAGGGACACGGTGGAAGACCAGTCTAAGACAGGATGGTTTGGGCAAACAGCCAAGACAACCAGGTGAGGTGGACAGAGCTCACCCGGACTTGACTCATGTCTCCATCCTGTCTACATGTCCTGGTCGCCGTGGACATCTGGGCTGTAGCCACAGAACCACATATTCAGTTAGCAGGCCTGAATTCACTCCAACCATCCTCCAAATGAACAGTGCAACTAGGCGCACTGGCCACTGGGACACGGGAAACTTTTCGTGACTGACCAGTGCGGTCCCACTGGGAGGCTAGACCTGAGACTCAAAGTGGAACGGATTGGTCAACACATGTCTAAAGGATTTAGTAGCCTCTTTTATTAGAAGTTCCGGAATTAGGGATGGGATAAAAGATACCATCCTCTTCCCTCAACCCAAACGGAAGAGAATGTGACTGCAGAGACGTCCTCTGCTCACTCGGTTCTCCCGTACCATTTCTAGCGCTGAAAGAACTGCTACAATAACAGCTGCCCATGACTCACCAGTACCCTGGACCAAGGTCCTTCATTCACCGAACGAACATGTCCTAAGAGCCAAATGCACAGGAGGTCTTTATGTGCTGGACACAGGTGGGGGATGCAGGGATGCACTGCACTGTCCCCTCTGAGCAGGTGACCCCCACGCTGAGGTGGGGTCAGGTGAGCAATGGCAGAACTCAGGGAACCCTCGGGATGCAGAGGAGAGCACCCGCCTCCTCGCCCAAGGGGTGTGTGCGTGAGAGGCTCTGGTCAGGACACACTGCTCTGGTCAGGAGAGGTTTGTGCGGGAGACCCTTTGGTTATCCACACTTTACACGAGAGAGCGCTGAGAACAGAGAGCTCGACACGGCAGGAGCAGGTTTCCACTCCTGGTTGATCTTTGGGGCTCCAAACCACCTTGAGTCTGATCAACTCCAGAGCTGTGTGGCAGCCACTAAAAACACTCCCTGTGGCTGTTTCCCTCCATGCTCTTATCTGTTAAACAGAGTGAGGCCAATGGAGACATAACGTGGGGGTGGGGGTGGACTGCAAAAGTCTGTCTCATATGGCAAAGTGCCTCCCCCAGGGGAGCCCTAGAAGTGAAAGTCCTGCTCAGCTGCAAGCTCCGAGGCAAGCCTTTCACACCACGGGGACTCCAGGGCCGCTCCTCAGATGGAAGACATGCAGCATCTTAGGGCCTTTCAAGGTGTCTTTGTTCTGCATTTCACAGGTGGACACGGTGTTGGAAAGACGCTATCCCATCACGGGACAGTATCTGCATCCCGTCAAGGAGGACTTAAGCAAAGTCTGTCGTGGAAAGTGTATGAGTGGAGTGGACAGAGGCCTGGCTTTGGAGTCAGACAGAACCAGGGTGTGATTCCCAGATGCAGCCTTTTCAGCATCGGTGACCTAACCTCTTTCGGTTTGGGTCCTTGTCTGTAAATGGAGGGTTTGACACTTACCTCTCTAGGTCTTTGGGAAATAAAACCCAAACATGCGCAGCACACACTAAGTCCTCGCTAGCCAGGCTCCAGGAAGAGCCATTCACGTTGCGCCATGTGTTAGGGACACCTCAGTGAGGAGGCAAGCATGCCAGGGTCCCAGAAAACCCTGCCCTCCGATTGTATTTCCCATTCATTGGTCCATTTGGGGATTTAAAAGGAATCTCCAACACGTGCTCGTCAGTAAAAATATCGAACCAGTAAGTGTGCCTTTTTATCCGGGTACTCCCGAGGTAAAATAGAAATGGCTCTCCTTAACCTTAGGGCTGAAGGTAAGCAGGAATGAGGCAGAGGAGGAGGGAGGAAGTGCAAGCCAGACAGAAGGGACAGCAGGTGTAAGGCTGTAGACAGCAGAGAGAGAGAGGGAAAGAGAGGGCATGGGTGGGCATCTGATGAACAGAAAGGTTGAGGTTGTCTGGAACATTAAGTGTGGGGTGCAGCGGCAGGTGTCTGCTACAGGTGAGGCGTTTTGAGGTAGGCTGGGCCAGATGTGCCTAGTCCAGGAGGCCGGACGTTATCCTAACGGCAACAAGCAGCCCCTGCAGAGCTTGAGCAGGGGTAATACGACATCACAAGGAGTTATGAAAGGTCCCTCAGGCACTGGGACAGAGGAAGCGTGGGAAGGGGACAAGGCTGGCAGTGGGAAGACCAGCTATCACGGCCCTGGTGGTCGACAAGGACGGAGATGAGTGTGACTGGACTAGGGAACTTCCTGTTGTAATGGAGAGAAGTGTAAAGACCTTATTCAGACGTGGGACGTCAAAGTGGCCAGACTTAGTGATGGTGGGGGTGGTGAGAGAAAGGCAGCGATCAGGATGGCTTTAAAGATCCCTGGCCTAAGCTTCTGGGTAGAAGGTGCTGCTTTTCACTGTGTTAGGCACCACTGAGGAGGGGCAGGTGTCCAGAGACTGGGGGTGGATGGGTTCAGCTTGGGACATGTCGAGTATTAGGTGCTCTGGGACTCAAGCACTTGAAACCTGAGTGACTCTCGGGAGCTGACCTAACCTCTCTGTGCCTAAGAAGCCTCATCTGTAATAGGAGAATGATGATAATAATAATTAGGAAAAATGACTAATTTGCTGCATTCTTTTGGTATAGGAGAATGTTGTCTTTTTATATAGCAGACTGGCGTTTTCTTCTCAGGTCCTCCCAGGTAAAATGGGAATCTCTATCCATGTCTCGGTTGATTTTACATATCTGTTTTGGGTATTGTAACCATTGGACAGGTACTGCCAATGTGAAAAAAAAAATAGGTAAATAAATAAATTCAAAGTAACAAGTGTGTATTATCACATGTGTGTAGTGTAATAGTCCATCAGCCCATCTCAGAGATAACCCCAACCCCTCAAATATGCTAATCTTCCTCTTGTAGCCCATCTCTCCCTCCAGAGGGTGGGCTAGGGTCTTTGGGACCCTGGATCTCTAACACTCCTTTCTGTGAAGTCAGCTCTGCTGCCCAGGGAGATGTCTGGGACCCTTTGAGTGCAATCTGCCTTTGGGGTGTCAGTTGGCTCAGCATGTCTGTAGTTTCAGAGAGAGGCCTGAGCTGGCTATGTAGGTCTGGAAATGATAGGTGGATGGCTGCATAGCAGAGAGGTGCTCAAGCCGCAGACACCTGGATTTGAATCAAGCCTCCACCATTTATTCCTTGTGTGACTTTGGGCAGGTTACTTATCCTCTCTCTGACTCAGTTGCCTCACTTGTAAAATGAGGATGATGTTAATAACTGGGACAGTTATTCATTTCTGCTGCCTTCATTTAGACCACAAAAATATTAAGTTTTAAAAATTATAAAATGGTTTTCACACGTCAGATACTTCCAGGGAAAAAAGACAATCTCTACTAATTCGTGTATCTGCTTGGACAGGCAGGAAAGATGCCTTGCTTATTTTGACCTGGTGACAGCGGGGCACTTCACCTGATTCCTGAAATAAGTCACAGCACGTAAATCTCTGCATGCTTTCCTGTTCTGGAAAAGGGCTGCCCACAAAGGACCACTCTTTTCATGTGACTTAGGTAAGGGTTGCTGTGTGGCCACTCTGGGCCAGGACTCCCACCAGACTCGAGGATGACAGATCCTCCCAGTCCTTGTTCTTTGTCTCATGAATGATTCACCAGGGAGATGGGAAGTCTGTCCTCCTGAAAGTAGCTACCACGGGGATAAACATTCCCTGTTCTGCTGACTGAGACTTCCCCTGGTTACAAAAACACCCTCCTCCGTAAGCCACCCCACTAACGCTTGTTTACCTCTCCCTATGAAAGTAAAGGCAAAAGCTCCCCGCCCAGACACTGATCTCCAGACAGGTGCGCTCTCCCTAAGGGCAGTAAGCTGAACAAATCTAACTTCCTGACTTGTTTGCTTTCTGTCTTTCCTTTCGAGTGTAAGCCAGACAAACACTCCATCTACAGACAATTATCGCTGACGCACAATTAGTAAACAAACTAATTCAAAGAGCTGGTGCCACTTCTCACCTGTACACTGTACACAAGAACTCCCAGCCAATCACCAGAGAAGTCGGCCTCCTCCAATCCGTCCAGCCAGCTCCCACGCGCCTCGCCTGTGAAGTCACCTCCGCTGCCCGGAATTTCTTCCCACGGCCTCAGGAAGCATTCGTCTCGTCCAGGACTGGAGGACCGCTCCGAGGACGCCCCAGGGCACTGCCGGGAGGGCCGGCCCTGACACCACGTCTCCGCGGAGCAGAGCAAGGCAGCCTGGTGGCCACAACTCAACCGGCCGCCCCAGCAGAGAAACCCCACCCCCTCTCCCTCCCGGCGTGCACTGCGGCCCCCGGCAGCCAATCGAAGGTCAAGTTTCTCTCAGGCGTCCCATCCCTGTGACGTCAAACAGCAACCGCCCCCCCCCTCCCCGCCGGCACCCCCCTCCGGGCCGGTACCGCCTTCCCCGGTGTACCCTCTCTAGCCAGCCGGAGGAGGAGGGCTCCTCTCCGTGGTCTTAACCCTTCAGTTCCGAGTCGGTTGCGCTGCGTCCCGGGACAGAGGAAAGAAGGCAGCGCGCTGGCGTCTGGACGGCGGGAACCGGCTCCGGAGGAAGAACGCGCGTGAGAGAGCCCGAGAGAGGGAGACAGAGAGAGAATGAGCCCGGGAGTCAGGGGGAGAGCGCGAGCGAGAGAGAGACGGATGGAGAAGGGGGGTGGGAGAGAGACTCGGAGAGAGACAGCGAGAGACAGAGTCTCCCTAGAACGGGGCAGGTGTGCGTTAGTGTTTTGGGACTAGAATCCTTCTGTTTGGCCAGCGGGGAACGCTGCTTTCTGAGAGAACACCTGCTGTCCTCCGACGCCCTTCTCTCTTCAGAGTGAGAATGGCGGTGGTACAATCTGCGTGTGTCGTATTTTTCCTTCCCTAGTTGGGGATGGCCATTTTTAAGGGGAGAAATCCCATCCCGAAACTTGCTGTGGGCACCGTCAGGTATCGGGATGTAATCGGGCAGGAATCGGTGTTCAACAGGTTCAGAAAGAACTTGTTTCCTTGGCATCACCTCCCTCCCACCCACCCCCATGTCCCACCCCACAATAGGAGACAGAATGACTGAAGCATTTTCAAGGAAAACTACATGTCCGGTATTGAAACAGTCAGAGAAACTCTTTCTAGGACGTGTGAGAGAGATGGGTCCTGATGTGGCATGGGAATAGACGTGCGTTCAGTAGGCTCTGTGACTCCTTCATTAGTGTGCAATTAGGTAGACCTTTTTATTTTAATCAAATAACCATCCAAGCTGCAGTGTTGAATATTTACAGAAGGAAGGTATCTTTGCTTGTCCACTTTGCTGGAGTGCAGCCCATCCGGGGCAGCAGACCTCTGTGCCATCCAAAATTTGGTTTTATAATTAGTCACAGATTTCCATTTGCATTTCCAATACAATTTCCCTATATTAACACACCCCTATTGGGTATAATGAATGTGTGTGTGTGTGTGTGTGTGTGTGTGTGTGTGTGTGTGTGTGTGTGTGAGGGTTCTTTTGTGAGTTTGTGTTTGCAAAAAGGAATAGTGAATGGACTTGCTTGGCTGAGGCTCTTGGGGTCCCAGCAAGGGAGAAAAAGGACAAAGAGAAGGGATTTCTATATTTTTAGGAGGAGACTTTCAACAGTTGCCTGTCAGAGGGACAGTGTCTCTTACCTGGAACTTTTTGGCATTTAATGTTTTGTGAATACTTTTCATAGGGAAGCACTGGTTTTACAGTTTCTAGTTGGATATTGATTACATGTAAAATTGTGCTTGGGATTGGGTGATACAGCTAAGTTGAAACTCTGAATCGCAGTGATCCATTTCCTTTATCCAGCCTTTGGGTGGAACGCAAAGTCAAGATAAATGTTCAGTTCTGGTCTGGGCAATCGTGCGTGGCAAGGGAAATTTACGTTTTTTTCCCAGTAAAGGGCCTGATGTGCTAAAACGAAGTCTATACTGTATTTAGCAGGTTATAAGAATTCGAAGGTAAGGAGAGCCACAGGTAAGTATATGATGGTGGATGTGAATTAAAACAGGTGACAACGTGGAGAGAGAGTGAGAGATTGGTGTAGCGAATAGTGCAGAGACTTTGCATTTTAACAGACCTAAGTGAGAAATGGTCCCCATCACTGCGGAGCTGTGTGGCCTTGAGTGAGTTGCTGAACCTCTCTGATCCTCAGTTACCTCATCTGCAAGTGGGCATGATAACATTATGTAACATAGCAGGCCCGGGGAGAAGTCGTTCCCAACCACCTGGACTACGGGGCCCTCCTCTGCTTTCCACACCTCCCCTGGCTCAGGCCAGCCATGGCTCTCATGGCGACTTCCGTCGTTATCTTCACTACGGCTCCCTGCCCCCCAGACTGTGAGCCCCCTGAGGACTGTTATCCTGCAGGAAACAGTCCCCTGTGGGCCACGTGTACCAAAGCACACATCCTGGAGCCGGGCGCTGAGCAGGGGCTGGGGCACGTTTGACTGCGAGCGACGATGACCCGTGCTGCCCACTTGGCGCAGTGTAGCTGTGGTTATGCCGGCACTTTGTTCATTGGAAATAATACAGTCAGCCCTCCGTACCCCAAGTCCCGCCTCCCAGGATTCAGCCAACTTTGGATCCAGAAGATTAGAAATGAAATAATACAAATAATACAAATTTTTAAAAATACAGCACGACTGTTTACATAGCTTTGACATTGCACTAGGTGTTATAAGTAATCTGGAGACGATGTAAAATATATGGGAGGAAGCGCGTAGGTTGCATTAAAATACTATGCCATTTCATAGCAGGGAGGTGACCATCTGAGGACTTTGGCCTCCCCGGGGGTCCCAGCCAATGCCCCACAGACACCAAGGTACCACGGTATTGTAAACGAGTGGATAACAGCAAATATCTTGGCTTACTTTTCTGTTAATCCTAAGGATGTTTGTGTCTTTTCCCCCCACACTGTCCAGAACCATATCGTATCGTACCCATATTGTCCCCTTTGCCGTGTACAGCTACTGTGATAACTGCTATTTCTCCACTGGAAATAACGTAGTGTGAATGAGCAGACACGGCTGATCCTGTGCTGAAATTTCTGTTCATCCAGGGCCGTGAGGAGCATCCTGTCCTCTATGCCGACTCTGTCCACAAGTATCTATTAATAGTATCAGTGCATTCCTTGCTTTTTCCCTTCATGCTATACCTGGGTCAAGATTTTACTTCCTCAGACTAGATGTGCCCTGGGGACGGGGCTGCGTTGGATAACTCACTGAAGGGATCGCTGAGTAGAGGGGCCCCCGGGAACATCTGTGGGACGAACGCACCCCGGCCAGTCGGGTTATTTTATTTTGTAGGTGACAGGTGTAGCAGTCGCTCCGGCCCGGATCCGCAGAATCTATGACGTGAACGCAGTGACGGGTGACCTCGGGTGAGTCCACGTGAGCTCTTCTCTCGCAGGAGACTTTCTCCTTGGCTGCCTCTTGCTGCTGTGGCCTCTCCTCCTTGTGGCCCTTCCCCTGTGCCCTCCCTTGCACTCCCACTGCTTTTCCACAGACTGTGTGTCTCTGTCCCACCTGCTGTGAGACCCCAAAGGCAGGGGCCATGTTTCCTTGGTCTGTTCATTTTCCCCTCTCACACTCAAAAGTGGCCATCGCTGGGTGTTTATTGACTTAACTGTTCCTTTGTACTGACGCTGCTAAGAGGAGCGTCCCCTGCATTGTAGACCCGGACGATGCAGGTTATGTGGGTGGGCATAACAGATAGAGAACGCGTGTGCCGGGTGCAGGACAAATGCTTTCGTTAATCTGAGTGGCGTTGGGCGGCTGGGACTCTGACTCCTTATTCCCCGGCATTGCACCAGGCTAGGGGCACAGTTCTCAGCACCCAGCCACCTTGTACGGATCCCAGTCACTTAGCTGTAGGATTTTGCCATTTCTGGAAAAGCGTCAAACTACTATTTAATGGATGTTATTAAATGAAATTAAATGAAATTTGTTTCTTATCCCTAAAATAAATTCATTTTATACGGGTATTTCACATCATTGTGCAACATGGAAAAATCTGTGACTTGTCACTGTTTTAACTGTGAAAATGAGTAGAATGCTGTTCATAGGGGGCCTCACCTGGACATAGCATGATTTGCCTTGTTGGCTATTTTCTTTTTCCTTCCCCACATGAGAATCAGGCTAACGAGGGCGAGCAGATTGTGAGGTTTGTTCTGTGTGGCATTCCCGGCACTGCGAACACAGCCCAGCACCAGAACGTCATAGGAAGTAGTTGCACAATCAGTTCCCTGACCCCAGGACCAGCTCTGGACACCCGAGCCGGCCCCCAGGACTTTCCTGTGTGAAGTCTGTCCCTCAGGATCACTCTGTACCTTAGGCATCCGGTGAGGCGGTGCCAGCAAGGGTGGCTGCATCTGGAGTCGTTTTGTTTCTGGCTGTTTGTGTGATCTTGGGGACATTACTTAACCTCTCAACGCAGGAATGTCCACCTTTGCAACTTGGGAAAATATGGATTCTGCAGGGTCGACATATTAAGTGAGATGTTTATAAAGGGGCCCCAGATTCTCCACCTGAAGTTTGACAGATGTTTGTGAATGTCCACTGGGGTCGAGGCTCTGTGATGGGTGAAGAAGACAAAGTCCCTGGGTACCATCAGCTCCCGGCCTGGTGGGTGGGACAGACAAATAACCATCTGTTGACAACTGAGTGGGGCTGGGGCCGGGACAGGGGAACCGCAGTGGGGTATGGGAGCTCA